TGTTTTATGGATTTATGCTATTGCCTCACAGGCTTTGAGATTAACTCAGAAGGTAATAGGAGGTTGTAAACTGGAATTCACTGAATGGAATTATTGCCTCTGGTGACCACAAACTGACACAAAATCATCCAAGCCATTTTCTCACCCCCTCCTCATTCGATGTCCATGGCATGCATCAATTGCCTCACGTTGGGCTACGAGCACTTTCTCTGCCTGTCATAACTGTCGGCTCCCGGATACTGGAGCCTCCAATCGAGAAACTATTGTGCTTAGCGGCGTTTCTTCCCTGACCAGCGGCTCCTTGAGTTCAATAGGAAATTACTCAGTGATCATTACGTTTGATTAACGTGCGACCTGGGCTAGCGACTCGATAGGAATAAATTGACATGACAAATTCATGAAAACGTCTATAGATTGCTGAGCATGGCTCAAAAATCGCCACGAGCGACAGAGTCTCTCTTGGCGATAACAAGGTAACACCTTTCCATTGCTGGCATGGTAATTAATTTCTCTATTCGACAGGCACATGCACGGACATGTGCCTAAAGGACTGGACTTTCCATTCCTTTGTCGCTTGCTGGGGCTCAGCTGTACGAAAAGACCTAATCGATTCTTTTATCAGCTTATACGATTACAGAAAGAATTAATCGCGAATGTAAATTGAATGCCTTGTCATTTGCGCTCTCTCTCGACTTAGATCAACGCGCTATTTCATCGAGATACCGATCGACGCTTCATTACCACGACTTATGAGAAAATGAAGGAAGAAGGCAGGATTACATTTTCCATCCGAGAACAGAAAGGGAAAAAAGAAGTTTTTTTCTCAGGTGATGAGCTGAAAACGAGATGTCAAGGTTTCCTGGGGCTTGTCTTTTGAGCACCAGCATGAAGTTATAAAATGTCGCTTGAATCCAATTTTCGAGAGGAAAAAGCGATGAAAATTCAGTGTCTGTCGCGTCTTTCGACGACCCCTCGCCGTCGTAATTTGAGCCTCTGAGACCGGAATCATAGGCACCTACTCGCTGCTGTCGCCTCCGCGTTGATTGCCTCGCCACCCCTGGGACTTTCCACCTCGAAAAGGATTTCAAAGAGGCTCCAATTGGATATCCTGCAGTACCCTGCAGTCACCCTCGAGGAGGAATGTCACATCCAATATCCATTTCCTATATAAGCGCTGTCGAGATACGAGGGAGATTAAGGGCTGCGATGGACGATGAGGCTATAAAAAGACGATGGGTCTCATCCTATTCTTCCTGCGTTGATGATTCAGGACTGTTATGGGGGACGAAATCTCCACTTACAGCAACAATACCGTGGATATTAAGGAACGTTATCGGTAATGGGGTCGGGGCGCATCGGCGAAAGGATTGATTGTGGAAGCTCTCTCTGAGTCGCAGAATCAGTGGCCAATATTATGCCCGGGGATATGGAGTTTTTTCCCTCCCTGAGAAGGATTACGGCTCAATAATTGGAAAAGAAAAGTTTCCAATCCTTTTTTTCTCCACGTTCTCTTTCCTTTCTCTCCCCCCACCCTTTAATGGCCTTTGTCTTCAGCTTTCGACCGAGGGAATCGACGTCAAGTTCCACCTCGCAACGATCGTTCGAGGCAATAAGAGCCCTCTCTTCATCCTTTCCGTAACTTTTCTGCATAAGAACTCCTTGACGTTTTCCCTTACGCTAAGTCATTTCTCATCTTCCTTCTCGTACTCCATCCTTCCGTCTTACGAACACTCTTGCGTAAGGAAATGTTTTCCTTCGTAACTAATTTTCTCCCGAAGTAAAAGTTTCTTCCAATCACAGCGCTTGTCACATGCAGAAGGTTTCCTGTTTTTGCCCCCATTCCTAGTATGAGTTGTCTCAATAACGACAACGAACTCCACCGAATTCTCACTAGACGGTCGTGATTTGGTCTATGTTGTCTCATAACCGCAAGAGGTGATTAACAAGCTGGCTTATTAGGGCATTTTTTCTTAAATTAAGGGACAGTACGTGACCAATGTAGGTCACTGATGACTCATTTTCAGAGCAATCACTCATCCTGCTAAGTGTATACCAGCTGCCAAAGACAACTAGGATGCTTCTCAAATGGATTAGCAGCGTACGCAATTCTTCACTAGGGTAAACAGTCACACCCCGTCCATCTCCATTCCAGCTGACGTGATACTCGAAGAATTGGATCAGTTGCAAGGAAAGCCAGGAAAAAGGAGACGTGGAAAGTGATTGCTGAATTGGTTTGTGCAATTCGGGTAGCACGAGGCTCCTGGAATGGTATCAAGAGGATATGGAGCCCATTCAAATGCAATACCGAGAGGGAACTTGCTGGAAAAGCAAGATAACTGGAGATGGGGCTCAAGCGCCAAAGTTGGATTCAACTACGTTTAAAGTTGCTGCAACCCTTACACCAGACCATTTCTGAAATTCCCGATGAGATAGATATGTCGACGAAGAAGTGCGTAATCATCCGGATATGGTGCAGGACAGTCGATATCTACTGCGCCAAGTATCGTCAGGAAGAAAATAGATTTTCCTCATTCGGGAAAAAGCAATAACGCAGCATTATTCATCCAGTTCCAATATCAGCCCCATTGCCCCAAGGGGTGCCTGATTTAATGAAAAGTGCAAAGAAATGTTTCATCTGACGACCTTTCGTAACTTTACGAAATATTTTTCCGGACTTTCACGTAAGAAGAAAGACGGGGAAAGCCATCCGTGAGGATTTTCCTACCTAAACAAGAAGATCCGGTTTAGGCGAGTTTTTTTTCCCTCTTTGTCTCCTTTACCTCTTAAATTTTTGACGTGAAAGAGTCTCCCAGAGTCTCGGAGCGTTCAAATCGTTTCCAGAGGTACTCAGCCTTCATGGGACATTCAAAGCGATGTAGAAGAACTAGTGGTGCTTCTAATATTGAAACAAAAAATCTTTCAGCCCCCCTCAAAAAAAAAGAAAAAAAAAACAAGACTTATGGTCGTAAAAAATCTCCTACAGAGACATGAATCATCTGCAGATAGATTCACTGCAGAGACTTATATCCTGTGCCGTGCATTGTGCTCCTAGAGTCAGTCTCCCAGGATGTCGCGATCAATGACACCATCATTAGCAGGGCGATATGAATGAAGCAATGTCATTAAGGATGAAGGTTTACTTCCACGACCAGGTCAGAGCGCTTTAAAAAATGATCTGGCGACTCCGCAGTAAATCTGTGAAGATCCATTCACATCAGCAGGGAGCCAGTCACTGTCGTTGAACGCTACGTTATCGTCTTCATTCCCATTATATGCCCCCCCTGCCTACTTTTGTCTTCCTGGCAAAGAGAGAGCGACATCGGACTCTTCGAAGAGACCTCTCAGAAAGGCACATTTCCGGACGAAATGTGGAGGTCATCAAAAGATGCATTTCCGGAATTTTTCATGACGCCAACGTAATGGCAGCTTCCGGAAGATGAAGATACTCCATCCCTTTTCCCTCGCTGAAGTCGACATCTTCGCAGAATCTCGTGAAAATGAACCGCAAACAAGGAAGACTATTGTGCTGCCAAAAAATTCGTAATGAGAAGTTGGAGAGTTTACAGGTTCAAAGTACGAAAAAATGACTTCACCGTCCATTTCCCGTTAAGGACAGGACCTCGAGGACCTCGACTCTCCCCTTCTCGATCGCATTTTTTTTTTTTCCTTCCTTCTGCTTTCTCTCTTTTTTTTTCTCTTTGTCTTTCCCCCTTTTTCTTTCTCTTCGAGAAAGGGCCTTGACGCTCCGAGTCAAGATAAATAAACGGATTGAGTGAACGAAGATTATTTTCTGGACATCGCAAGTGATTTTTGCGCCGTAAACGTGCTTCATGGGGCATAATCCCACCCGATAATTTTTATCAATTTGTAAAAAAAAAAGATCTTTCTCTTTTCTGCAATACTTTTTTTTTTAACAGCAAAGCATGGCCGTAATATACCCACAAAGGCCTGTTTCGGACGAGGGGATCCAATTTTTTCCATGTTCTTTTCTTATAGCCGATTTTTAAAATATCTTATTTGTTTGAAGTATCCTTTGCATGTCAGTATGTCATGCACTCCGAGTTTCTCGCCGTAGGTAATCCTACAGCGAACGTCTGAGAGCTTCATTATAGGTAAAAAGCAATTAAAGCAATTTCCTGCCCTGCCAGTTAGAAGAGTTGAGCTCTTGAAACCCTGCCAAAAGCGCGCAAACCGATGCCGTTTCTCTGCATCTAGTTCCAGCTACCTCTCTCAGGAAATCAGTACTAACTTTCAGTGCTGCGAGATGATTCAGTGGTACACCGCTTCTTCGGTGCAAGTTTTTCCATATCCCATTTATTTATGAAAACCAAACCGAATTTTTCTTCTGTCAGGCATCAATGCTTGTAACACCAAAATAAGGGACTCGTTACCTGTCCAACGACGTCTAGTTATTCGAAATATGAGCAGCAAGGTTGCAAGGTTGCAAGGTCGAACTCTTTCGGTGCGTCAAGGACATCGTCAATCACGTGCTTGACTGATCTCTGGAAATACTAGACCGGATTTAATTAAACTCTCTGGAGCGTGAGAGCTTAGCAAATGGAGGCAATGTGTATTGGGGTGGATGCGTGCGCGTGAACGTGAATTATGAGGGTGAGAAATAGTACCAGAAAGGAACATTTTGTATTGCCTGTCGTATTGCACAAGTAAGAGGCGCCATAACTTTCGCTCCATGGGCCCACCATCTGGCCCACCATCCAAAGAATTCCAACCGAGCCGAATTGGATTGCTGGGAATGAACGGGGGGGGGGGGGGGGAAGGAGGGAGTGTGGAGAACCCGCATTACTTGCGTCTTCACTCCAATGACTGGAGGGGGGGGGGGGGGGGGGGGGGGGGGGGGGGGGGGGGGAATGGGAGATAAATTCCCTATCAAGAGATTTTGACGTCATCGCGCTCCGTCATAATCCTTCCTCAACCAGACGTTATTGGTTCCGTATTTCATATTGCTTCTCTCGGTTTCACGGACCTGGATGTCCGGAAAGATGATTGATGCATCGAAAATATCTCGTATTTTCGTGTATCTTGAGGATATCGAAGTGTCACCTGTGGAGATTCCTGTATATGAAAGCAGCTTCTCCCTCTCCTTGTATGCAGCATCAGTGCAACGGTCCTATTAACCTGTTCGCGGGCAGGGACCCATATATGGGTTTTAAAATTTAGCGCTTTGACGGGCCTTCGAAGCAACAGGTTACTGCGGCATTTAACCCATCGAAAGAGGTTGTATAGGTATCCAATGCGCACTGTATACACCTTGCGTCTGAGACTGTCCTTGTTCTGTAATGGTGTGCCCGGTAAAAATGGACGCCATTGCAGGACCTAGTAGTGTAAAACGTCCATAAAAACTGACCCTTGAAAGGGTTAAACTTGAAGGCCTCTTGGAGCAATAACCATAATAATTATTACACCTAGTTTAATAATCGGACGGAACAGAAATGAGACAATGCATGCACGGACGAGGCAGGAAGAGGAAAGGGGGGGGGGAGCGGAAATGAGTGGATATCGTGGTACTCAACAATACCAAGTTAATGTCTTACAAGTTTATATGAACCATCCAATGATATACACCTGGTGCAGCTCCACTCCGCTGCAGCTTAATTTTCCTCGAGGGAATGCTGATTGCGGAAATTCAAGCTTTGATTTTAAAAGAGGTCAATATCAAAACTTGTGAACATGCTGAATCTCCTTCCTTTCATATGGGGCCTCGAATTATAAATATTGTTTGGTTCTGTGTAAGCTACTATTATAACTTTGTGCAACATAACATAATATATTACCGGTCCTATTATCATTATAGTTGTATTAATACCCTTTATTAATCATATTTATTCGTCCTTATATTATATTAAGAGCCCCATATTACCGATCGTTGAAAGCTTGACGGCATCCTCCCCCTCCGAGTCCCTCCTGGAATAATAAAGGGAATATTGAGACAAAATGTGACGGACGTCATGAGTCTCTTCTGTCACGTCACAGCCTGCCAACGCCATGAGCCATAGACCCCCTCAATCGATAAGCTTCCATCCCTCGGGTGAGATCGAGGCGAGGATCCGAAGGGGGAAACCAAGGTGAAGAGGATGTTCTTTTTGCTCGGGTAAACCTAATTCCGGGCGTGGGATTTGATTTATTACGTTCACAATACTGCACTGGTCTCTCTTTTTCTCGGTTGTCTCTTCCGATGCTGTGGGAACTGGTTGCAATCAGGCGCCTTTCCTATAAATGAAACAAGACATCCTTTCTCCGCTTTTTCAGTTCGGCCAGCTTCTTCTGCTCCTGCAATGTACTTGCCCAGACGTCTTTCAGCGGCAATTCGTCTTTCGATTCATTAATCTGCTGTGTGTTGGTCTGTGCAAACGACCGACTCCCGGTTCCATTTGTGACAATGGTGATCCCGTTGTTCCATCCATACTTATTTTGGAGCAACTTTGAAACGTGAGAAGTTGACAGAAGTCACCTCGTGACGTGCATTAAGGTAATTCGGAGTGATGAACGAAGTTGCATCCTGAAAATAACGTAGGCTGAAATTAGCACGTGCCACTGAACTTGTAAATGCGACGGCATGTGACGTATAGTATAGCCTCGTCTCGAATTGTATCATGAAGCTACGCTTTCGAGGCGGCAATGACTCGACGAATTAAATAACTACGAATAAAAGCGGAGTTACAAAGAAATGGCATGAGAAACATCAGGAATTTTTCAGATGGTATTGTGCGTCGTAAATGTAAATATTCTAATGAGGTATATAAAAATGCTTGCTATATTATACATAATCGTCTTGAGATCGCAGGTATAACATTCGCTATTGACTCAAGAAAACATCGGAATATTGGAATTAATTTAAAGAGGAAATAAAAATTAAATTAAATTAATAAATTAAAATTCTAGAAACAGCGGGTGACATGCAACTGGATGAGCACTAAATTAGATGTTCTACATTTTTATTCTTGCTAGTTTTTATGACTGAAGCCAAGATGGCATAATTTTAAGTTTTTTTCCTTGCAAAAATGTTACCGTTTATAGGGATAAATCGGGGGTGTTGGCATGTGCATACATCGCCGTACAAAATGCTAGCCTTCAAGGCTCCAGTCCCGCAAATCATGGAGTATCGCGTGACACGAGCATGCTCCTATATTACCGTCGATTTAGGGCTTTCCAGGCGAATGGACTCTGTACCTAACTGACGATGAAGACTCTTCTGTTGTATGCTTCTTGAAAAGAGTTTCGTGCATGCTTAAAAAAATGAAACTTTCCCAGTCAAGAGGAAAGAATGAATTGGCTATACATGGCCATAAGGGTATACCTTTGCAGTGACCGTCGGGGCTACTAAACGACGGATGGGACAGTTGATGTAGAAATGAGAAGGCAATGGAAAGCTAGCGTATCATCGGTGCCACAGCTTGTGCAAACAATGCAGAAGTCTCAGGGGACGTAATTGATGGAGAGCACAACACAGAATTAACTCAAACGTCAGATTTACCATCAAGCTGTCGAGGACAAGGCACACAGTAGGAAGGACTAAACGCCTATAACGATTTAGAGGAAACAGTTTATTCAATGATTACAATGGCTGTTACGACAAAATGTCCTTGAATGAAGCTCGATGAAACTAATCACGAACATTAAGTCTATTTTTCTAAGCCTATTTTTTTAAAGGTGATTTGCAAGCTCACCAATAGGATCAATGAAACCGCAGCGATTTGGAGACTAGAAGGGACGGATCGGGATGGTCCCCATTGTTCCCAGCCTTCTTCATGTCAAACGCGTGTTGTGTCCAGTTTCCTTGCCGACTTCTTCAGTTAAAAAAAAATTAACTTCTCACACACCTTTCGATTTGGATTGAACCGATTTTTTCTAATTGGGATCGAAATGTGAATCTCGGATTCTTGTTGAACCTGGTATGGGGTTTCACGTTGTCCCCCCCCCAAGTCAAATTATTATGGGATGAATTGTGCTCGTTTGTGAATTGTGTGAGGAATTTGCAAATTTCCATTTGCTTCAGATGATCCAAGAATCTACACAGCCAACTGATTATACAAGAGTCAGAGAGAGTAGAAAAGGGAGGAACGCAGGGAGAGATGAGTTTGACGTTGCAATCTTAGGGAGTGTGAATGTGGGAGAGAACTTCTCTCGAGGGCAGAATTGCTGTGACGCTTTTTCATGTAAAAAAAAAAAAACTATTTCATTTCATAAGCCTCGAAGCCAAAGCAAAAGCGGATAGAAGTGCAATTACGCGGGAATTCTAAGTTCACAGCCTCCTGGCTGAGGCGAAAATTGAAGGTGCTTCATTGTCGCAGTGCATTCGAAGGAGGTTCAGCCCCATCGCAGCGGCTGCTTGCGTGAGGGTTCCATTGAGGCTTCCCGTCGATCTCGTCGTGTGATCGTTGGGCGGTCGCGCTGAGTAAACATGGGGAATGGGAGTTGCTGCTCATAAACGATCGTGGGTGAAAGAGAGTCTCTGAGGCGCTGTTCACCATGGATGCACAACATATCTGGGAACAAAGGCATAAAAATTGGGCTGTAATTGCTGAGACCCATCCTTCCACGCCTGCCTTAATGAAGGAAGGAGGCACACATAAAGTGGGCGTGGTGACATCACGCATCGTTCCTTTTATCATCCTGCAAGTGAGCGTGCATATCTCATGAAATAAATATTTCATCCAGCAGACTTGGAGCGTTGCTCCAAGACTTATATAATGTATATAAGGCTTGAATGATCAATACGGCGTAATCTTCATTTGCAAAACGTGTCCATATTTAAGGTCTTAGCTATACCATTTGACAGGTTCTGGGAATGGGATCGCTACATGTTATGTCTGTAACTTGCTGCAGTCTATATATCCAGAGAGCATCAGGGGGGTGAAGGACCGTAGCTAATAATATGCTCCATGTCGACCAGTGCCATCGATTTCCTGTCAGTTTCGCCCTTGCGAGTAATACATGGAGGGCTAGATCCATTTCTCGCCCAATTGCATCGTGCATTCCGCCCTTGAGATTACACGAGAAATCCTGATCAAATATGGCGTGGATGAGACTCATTCCGATTACCCTTGAAACTCCGAGCAAGAATTCCAGCGAATTTCCAGTCAAATGATAATAAATCTCTCTTTCCCCCCATTCAGGCTCCTGAGCAACAACCGTTTGAGGGCCCTTCCCCCAGGAGGCTTCCGACCCTTGACCAGCCTGGTCTCGCTGCACCTGTCGGAGAACAGCATCAAAGAACTTCCCGAAGATTCCCCTTGGACCGGTCTCCAAAACCTCCACTTTCTGTGAGCCAATATTTGCTTACCGGGAAGGAACTTCGAGTATTAGGTTATCCGACTTGTAATTTGCTGTCGGTTGCGATTCCTCGATGAGGAATCTAGTGGACACCAGGTACATCTTGCACCTGTCTACCTTGTACTTCGAACAGGTATCTGACCGGAAATTCTCTGACCGTAATTCGGAACCATTACTTCCTCGCTCCGAATCAGTCCCTGACCTCTGCATTGAAATTGTGAGCCGTCTTCTTCCTTCGCTGTCGGCAATCCGTCTCACTCGGAATTTTACTCAGTTTCTCTATTTCCCAGGCGATTGGATGGAAATGGGATTTCCATGATTGAGACCGAGGCCTTTGCACCCTTGCAGCGCTTAGAGGAACTGTGAGTCACTTTGTCCTTTCTTTAATAAGCTTGCGACTTATGGGGTTCATTTCAGTGAGAGGTTTGAGATGGGAGGCATAAATTAAAGTTATCCCAGCCTCACGCACGAAAAAATTGCCAAGAAAAAACCCATTCAAATCAAGAAGAAAAGTACATATCCAAAGTGAGACCAAACGTGACAGGTTGCACATAACTGGCGCATGTCGCATTCCTTTCATTCAGCCTAAAATTGAATCATTAGATAACAGAGAAGGAAAGTTTCGGGGTGTTTCATCCTCATTTATACCTTTTACAACTAGCTTTTGGATGGTTCGCAATTCATTTTCGGCGCAGTTCCCCTTGTTTTTTTTTCCGAATGAAAGGTGAGTATAGGCGCAATGCATTGAAAAATTCGCGTTTCAGCCGAATTTTCGGTGCGCAGGAGATGATGTTCGGCCAACTTTCCGAAAGGAATCATTATTTTCGGCATCCTGTATCTGCATTTCGGTATTCCTCCTCGTAGTTCGTTTGTGGAAGAGAAGAAATTGAAGAGCAGCGACAAAAAAAATTCGAGCCGGAAATTGAGTTTACCAATTGAGTTGATCGGGGGAGCCACCAATGGGAACTTTTCAGTCGGATCTCTACCACAATAACGAGAGACCAGCGAAATGACAGGAACTCGCTGCACATCTTCAGAAATGTTACACATTGCGTGATGAATAAGCCAACCGTTGTCAGCGATGTATTCCGAAATCAAGGAGCTTTAAACCTTGTGTAATCCCCCCTAATGAGGATTGTAATTCATTTTGATACATTTTCCCCTCTGTTTCTCAATGGAAAGGGAACAACGCTGGGAATTTGGATAACGGCGTTCGGTATGAATTTTCGGCACACAGAGAATGAAGCAGGCTTTGCCCATACGCGGATATTCCCGTCACCTTATATCGGAATTTCAGCATTTTCTCCCTACATTTCGTCATTTGGAAAGCACAAAACGGACAGTCGGCGATTGAAATTCATCGAGGAAATTGAATTTCGGCACAAATGACGATCTCGGCACTCGGGCCCACTTTTCAGCAGGATCAAGTTACAAAAGTGAAGCACCTGTGAAATCGCTAACATATTTCGACTCGCAAACATGTGCTACGAGTTTCTCTCGCACTAGGAATGGGTAATAACGGATTTAGAGTCCGAGTGACATCTTTCCAAATTAGGGAGAAGCGCTTCCAAATTAGAAGAACCGCTTTCCACTGAAATGCGGGTGGAACTTTTGCCTATCCCGCAGCCCTTCTGACCGAATTCCCATACGTAACGTTCGACTCGTAAGAACGTCCGATAACAATTTCCCCAGAAATGTCTCAAATTTGCATTTGCAGTCCGCTCTACCGTGGAGCAATCTGTGAGCATTCACTCGCAATCATTTCAATTTCATTTTTGCTCGTCGATAGCGAATTTTAGCCGGAAAGGGTCGCGTGACAATGCATTCCAGATTCCATTCGCCGTATTCCACATTCAGTTTCACGTAGGACAGTAATGGAAGAATTGTTCTTTTCGGAACGCCGAAAATGACATTTCATTGCCGAAATTGCCACTTTTCTCACATTTCCAACGACATTCTTCGCTCGCCAAAAGCCGAAAATGAATTGCAAACAATCTATCAATGAAAGCAAGTTGCAAAAGATATACTCTCGGGATAAGAGACTGAATGCGGTCGTGGATTCGAGAGAGAGAGAGTTCATGTACATTTTCGCCATTATCTTACTGCAAAATGGGGGGAAGAGGCGAAAAGTACCCTTTGTTTGTAGCCCCTCCACATTTTTTTTCTTAGAATGTATGAGGCGCATTCAAAAAGTATCAATATAACTACGTCGAAGCTCCTTCACTTTCCCAGGAGCAATAATGTAATTCTGATTGCATGAATGGTTAAGTTTTTTTTTCCGCACCAATGGGAAATTCCAGTTCTGTATCGAATGTCATTCGTTTATTAAGTAGACTTATTATTATTAGTAGAACTATTTTTAAGTGCAGTTAGTTGGATCAATTGATGAAATATGACTGATTCATCAAGAGAGAAACAAAGGCTTGCTCCTCTCAATATCGCTTCATCGACCCAGGAACGAGATTGCTCGAATGGCAGCTTCTTGCACAGACTTCTTTCAATTGCTTCAGAATGCTACCAGCATTATTGCTTTTATTGGTAAACAATTTAAATATGACAGTCCTCTTTTGAAATGTCGCCATATTAATCAGCTGATTCAACCAACTTTAAAATTGTCTTTCAACCATCTGTAAAAGAAAATTAATGACGATATATTCAAAGCTGAGATTTCACACAGGTGTTGAATAAACTTACCTCTGAGCATTGCGCCTGGAATGATGTGAAACTGTACCTCAGTAATGAGTACTTTTTCGGACGCACCTCGCACATCCTTCCTGCCGATTCTAATTCTGCAGGAACTTTGAGGGAATATGGAGCATATGATTTCGCATGCTTACATGGGAACACCGATGTTGAATACGCCGCGGCGACACCAATCCGTAAAGTCAAACACTGCAACCCATAGGGAATGAATGCCATTAGAGTTGAATGCGCTGTCGATGTCCCATATGCTCTGCAACACTGACGATGCCGCATTATTTTAGTGGATCTCTTCACAAAGCTAGCATGCACTTGGAAGCACAAAAGGAAACTCCAATCACGAAAGTGCGGAATCAATGATGATTCCTTGACGACAGAGGCGAGTCGATGTAATCAGAAAGAATTTTATTCCCAAGGCTCAGCTCTGTTCCAGCAGTAAGAAACGAAAAAATGTCTCCCATTCTGAGACATCAACATGTCTCTTTTGGGACTCTTTGGGGAAGATTGAATTGCAATCCGATCTACTATAAGCCGTGGAACTCCAAGACTTATTTCCTTCTCTCTAAAACTGATATTATGATTAAGGTTAAGCCAGCATATAAATGAAGTAGGATAACGCGATTTGTGTGATAACGTGACAAGATGAAGCATACCACTCCCACCTCAAAATTCCGAGACAGCAAGTCAAGGTGACAGGTGCAACGACAAGCGAAATCTATAAACATGTCAGCGTTTCACCCACCTGGTCAGAGCGACGGCTGGTTAGCTCGACGATTGTTATCGAGCGCTTGTACAAGTTAGCACTTTCGCGGGACTCGTCGTTGAGGGCCTTTCTCTCTCTGGGCTTCCATTAGGTACTTTCAAGATATCTGGGAATTCTGGGGATTCCCTCTTGTGAGATCTAATCCACACCATTATGTACAGCATTTCCATCCATAAGTTGTCGTACTCATCGCTGAGACTTTCAATTATCATCAGAGTTATCCCATCAAAATATTCCCTCGTGGATTGCTTTATATTCATAATTGCAACACGGCCCTTATCAATTCGGATCGATGAATGAGACTGTCAGTCCGTTCGGTCTCATAGGCTCGAGAATGGAGTGGACTGAAAAGAAGCCCCTAATCCCTTATCCCAATAGATAGATCCATCATTCCATATTGCTCTAGGGTTTTCCCTGTTTTTACGGCTACGTCCGAGGGCATACGGCTCGATGCACTCAGCAAATCTCAGGGGCAGACGAAACAGCTCAGAGGGGCAGAAGAGAGAGGAAATTAGGGGGAGGTAAAAGCTAAGTCGAAAGAAATCTTCCTCGGGGGAGTTCGAGGAGGGGGAAAATGATAAAAGAAGGGATTCCAGAGGATGAGGTCATCAGTCACAGAGACGTCATTTGGGATGAAGGAACTCCGGTGACACTCTTCAGACAAAACACTCTTCCGATGAAATTCTGGCCGGGGAGAGACCCTCTCCGCCTTGAGTGAAATGCAAAATTGTCTCAGTCTGCGAATTGTGAATGCAGAGAGCATGTGCAGCCGAGCCATATTTCATCTAGGAAGCATCTCGAGCACTGAGACCAGGAACTGCCGAGTACGAAGTCAGGACGCTACGAAGCGAGAAAGCAATTTCAAGACTCGAACTCGCTATTTCTTCCGCTATATCAGATAGTCTGGGCGAAACGGACTTACATGGCCCAAAATCCAAAGACGTCAGACGCATTTTATCTTCATGCGGCAGTTTATCAGGAACTCAAAAAAGAACACGAAACAGTGAAGTTTAGAGTAACTTGGTAAAGAGTGGGAGGAGTCTTGGTTCTCAGTTTACGAACAGAAATTTAGCCAGAGACCTGGGAATTCACATAGATACCGGATGCGCAAAATTGTTAAAGTTATTCGTGAAACCGGAATGAAGAAGTGATTGGAAGGCCAGACCGCTGTGATTCTCAGGTTCTCCAAAATATGAACATGGATTCTTGTGCTTCCTTGACCAAAGACCTCATTGGGTCACCACAGAGATTGCCAGGTCAATTTAAATTGATTAGTTATCTTTTCTCAGGGCGACATATTGATAAATGCGGAATTTCAAGAACATCTATGATGAGAGCATACTTCGTATAGGCATATATAGAGAGAGGGTTCATGTGATGCATAAGGTAACATCTAGGAAGGAGTGCGAACTAATCGGGTACTAATGTGTACTAATCGGGTTCAGACAGAGGCCACACGCTACGTCAGGACTACGCACGTGAGAGGCAAATATTGAATTTGCGGACAGGACTATGCTTGCAAATATTTAATGTAGGTGACACATATTCCGACCTCGTTAAGCTCAAAATTCGGAGCGGATTTTGAGCTCAACTACGTTTCGAAATTCTTTTTTTGTGGGATTTATGCCATTCAAGACTATCTATGCGCTGTGGGCGCGGCCGCCGAATGGTGTTACGTGTTCTCCGTGTACGAAAAAGGGCCCTACTATATGTACTGACTCCAACTCTAGATGAGTACCGGTGAGATTCGGAAGGACTAGGCTGGTCAGCAACAATAACAATAGATATATTGGATGGATACCACTCACTCAATAGTCTACAGGCACCAGGCAGGAGGGAAGTTGATACGTCAAGGGCGACGGGAATAATTTACAGGTCCCTATACAATCCAGACATACAATACACACCGTTGTACAATGTCACACGATCACATCCACACAGTCACTGTCCACTCTCTAGTCTCGCCTCCACCCCCTTGTCCCGGTCCGTGGGAGGTCTCTTGGAGGTGGGAGGTGTCCGGTAGGGGGTGGCTCCTCCTCCACTCCTCGGTGAGGTCCGCCGCTAAGCCCACAGCGCACACTGCCCGTTTATGTTTTGAGACCGGACATTGCTGTAATTTGGTTGAAAAAGGCTGTTTGAATTTCTGATTACGGTGAATTACGTAACGTGGGGGCGGGCTTAATGGCTAGGTCGTAATTTGTCTCACCTACCCTACCTGTAACGTAAGAGTGAATCTTAATAAGCGCGCGTCAATATTAATGATTTGCGTGTGCACCAATCATGTGAAAGTTAGTGCAAACAGATGATGAGATAGAGCGTAACGGCTAATCATTGATAATTATTCTCCGTCGTGATATCACCGTGATTATTGATATTCGTGGTCAGGCGGCTGGCCGACAAGTGCGATATCGGAACTCTGAAATACGGATTGGGAGAGCTTGTGGTCTTGACTATTTTTATACGCCCTTTACGCACATAACAAAATATTGATACTTTTCGCTCGAAAGCGTCATAAGGTGTTTTTCTCCACTTTGGCGCCGTTTCAACCGCAGCATCTGACGAGAGGAAAATATGTCATTCCTGTTCACTGAAGCATGAAGAGCAATTCGCTGCCTTGGTACTCATTAAGTTGATGAATTTGATACTGCGTAGATTGCTAAAGGCGCATACTTTATCTTCTCTGCTGATTTTGCTAATCTTCAGCAAAATGCAAATTCATAGAGGTATTATACTTTCACTAATCGCGTAGTCCTTTCATCGCGCTGAATCTGGTTAAAACCTATCTTACACATGGGGGGGGGGGGAGTAGAGTTACACTTAAATGCACTTAAATAGCTTTCGGTTCAAGAGCCGTGAAACTGGGAGGCCTCCGACTCGAGGCCTGCGGTGCCCCGAAAACGACGATAAGAGGAGGGGAGCGCACAAAGGGAAAGCCATTTTTCATTCCGTCACGGGAAGCAATGAGCCAGGGCATCAACTTCTCTCGCTATTTTGGTTCTTCCCCCACCCTGCGCCACGTAATCGCATCTTCTCCCCATTTCTCTGTTTACCCCTTTTTACGTTGACCAGTTGAGCCTCTCGAACCAACTTGCCTTCGCTCGATTCCCTCGGCGTCACACCACGCCACAATTCAATTTTCCCTCGTTTTTGCAGAGATTTGCGGCAGAACGGCCTGGAGAAGGTGACGTCGGAGGTTTTCGAACCCTTGACCAACCTGAAAAGAGTGTGAGTTAGTCTGCTCCTCCCCCCATCACTCTTTTGGACAGATCGATGCACATGGCAGGCTTGAGAATAGTATAAACGATGATGGAAGATAACATCATCCATCCATTCTTGGGATGAATGCCTCCCTTTTTCCCTCTCTTCTCGATCGACTCGCGTGGGCGTGGTGGATATCGGCAGGGAGTTTCCAGAGTTCCAGCTATGCCGTCTGGCCTTGAAGGTCCGGATATGTTTGCCGAAGGGAGATGGCATCTCCAGCACTCAGCATCTCCTGGACAGCACCGTCCTACGTGCTTGGTATCTTATCATTTTTCCTGTTTTCTGGACCTTTTACTTCAGAAAGAGAATTGAGGAGTCTTATGCAATCGTCTAGATGCCATTGTATGTGTATGACAACGAGCGTTTAACATTTATTTAATTTTCAGAACATTTCTTTCAGTGAGAGAAACATTATGGTTAAAAATAAAAAAGTTCCGATTTTCACTCAAGGCGCACAATGAAACGGCTCGAGAGAACTTCGTAGATGAGGTACGAGAGAAAATGTGAAACTCGACCACTCATGAAGCAGCCGCCTCGTATTGGGTTCCCGAAGCGAATCGGAGACGTTTATATTATACGATTGCGAGTGCCAGCGTGTCGCGGTGACCGCAGAGGACATAATTGTAATCAGGGGCGTCAAGTGCTTCTTCATGTTGCTGAAAGCTGTGGAGAGGTTCTCTCGTCTCGGTTTCACTCACTAATGCTATTAAAGTTTAAAAGAAGAATTCCCTCACCGAGAGATTCGCCTTTAAATTCTTCTGAATGAGCGTGGCTGTCGAACGTCAAAATAGTTCAGGAAGATTGCTTTCCCTCGTATCTAATAGCACGTGGATGATGGCACTGCTGTCGTGCGGAGGGAACCTGGGTGTGCTGATCACGAGAGCCCTGGTGAGGGAGCCCAACGCCATTCATTCCTTCCTCATCCAGAATCTGGCGGCGGCTGACTTCCTCATGGGGGTCTATCTCGTTCTCATTGCCTGGTCTGATGCAAGGTACAGAGGGTCTTATATCGAGCACGACTGGGATTGGAGGCACAGCCCTCTCTGCAAGTTCTGTGGTTTGTACAGCCTGTTCTCACGTTCAGCCGTTGTGGCCTTACTTACCTAAATTCTCAAGTTTCCTTTTTCTTTTAAAGTAAGAGTGAACTGTCTCATCAGGATCCGTATCGCTATAGTACGGTCTAAACTCGGACATGAAGTTGGTGATGTACAACAATTTATCATTCCGCCTTGCGGTACCCCTTGGTTTTGCCTTGGGTTCCGAATAACAATGCCGAAGCAGGTCTCCAATTACATTGAATGCATGGGACAGTCATGAACAATTTTAAAAAGATCATATAAACGTTTTTGAAAGGTACTATTCACTTTTTTTAGATTAAGTTTCTGTTTCTGGTCACTGACCCGCTTACCTACTTAAGAAAGAGTAGCTTCAGAATCGAAGCTCCAGCTTAAATTCTATAACTGAAGGTTTCAGAGAAATTTACGCACAACCAACTTCACATGATTGCAGCCCAGTCTGCTCGTCAATGCTGACTCCATGTTGATAATTGGTTGACGATGTTGATGGGATACTGATGCCGATGATCCAATGCATAGTTAACATGGGCTCGATGTAGAAAATATCAATATTGTGAGAACATGGATTTTGTTATGCACTTCAGTTCAATACTCGATATCCTGTTAATGTTACATCAACAGATGTCGGGAGAGACATCTGGAACTTATTTGAAGAAACAAGGTTCCATGCCCCCGAAGTGAGATGGGCACAAATCGTCAATACGGTGTGTTATCAAACATACCACGCGCAACTGCTAAAAGTCCCCAAGTACTTTCCAACTGGTACTTGGTTTCTTCTCCACAGACGACACCTGGGAAGGTATTGGAATCCCGCAATACATTCGACGAAAGATACTACACGACCCAACGAGACCCAGGGTTATTCCGAGCCCGAGAACGGAGAGAGAAAAGTTCACTTGGTGATCTGACTCCATGGGGCAACCCCCCCCCCCCCCCCTTCCTCTCCCCCCCCTCCCTGATCCAATTAGAGGGAGACATTCCAGACCTAATCCTGCTGGTCGCGCAGGAGGATCTACACAGTAATATGCACCTGCTTTTGCGTTGGTTCCAATCACTGTGTTGTCCTATTGCTCCCGCGGGAGTGAGATTCCCCTCTCTAACGTCGACGTTCAAGCAATGACCATAGCATGATGTGAACGGACTGAGATCACGGCGATTCACAGGGTATTGAGCACTCGACTGGAGCATGACATGAATTCAGCACCGCAGCAATGTTGAGATCCTGTCTCTATTTCAACATGAAACTTCAATACTTTTGCAACGTTGAGTCGATATTGTGCAGATTGGGAGGTTGGAACATCATGTTGGATATCAGTAGAAAATTTTCAGGGCGTCAAATCCAAAATGTGTTGAAAATTTTAACCCTCTAGAACCCTAGCGATAGCTTTTGCCCCGTGCAACCTCATATGACGGCGTATGCATGAGCTTCCTTGACCCGGCTGTTTCCTCCGCGCACAATCGGGCTCACTCGAATTCAGTCCAGCGAAGCGGGCGGGTTCACTGACACGCTCGCTTATTTGACATCGCGGGGAAAGAAAGCCTCTTTCTCGGCTTCTGAAAGGTCAATGCCATTAAAATTTTCATGAAACCATCATGAATTTTATGCTGATATCTTTAATGATATTCTATCTGCAGCCTGATAGTGTTGGACACTTTGGGGTCATCTGGGGGTACTTACATATATTTTTTCCTCGGCTCCACAGATGTGAATGCAATATGCATTTTTTATTGTTCAGCGAAGTTCAGCACCCCGATTAAAGTATCCCTTTAAAAACAAAAACTATAAAATTCGGTTTGCATCGCACGTGGACCTTACGTACTGAATAGGCATTGTACCTCTTAGTCCAGTAGAATTTTCTGTTGACTTTCGCGTCTGCTGCAAATTGCTGAGAGGCAAAATTCTTAGTACTTCTTTCAAAATGATCCTTACGCGTTGATCAATGTTTCGAACTTCTTTACCGCTAGTGCTTAGCAATCTGCAAAACGTACGAAGCTCGCTGAGAATCTCTGTATTATCGATACCTCCAGCCTAGAGGTTCAACTAGTCAACGGTCAATTTGTCTCCCGTGCGAGGGATGGCGATGATTTGGGCTTGTGGGATTTCTTAGGCTTCCTGAGCACGGTCAGCTGCGAGGCGTCAGTGATGATCCTCACGTTGATCACGATCGATCGGCTCCTGTCCGTCACTCATCCGATGGTGGTGCAGGAGAAGAGGACGATGGGGCGGGCGTTGTTGGTCACGGCGTTCGTCTGGCTCCTCATGATCACCCTCAGCCTCATCCCGCTCGGGTTTCAGCCGGATTTCTTCAGCGGGAATGGGGTTTGCCTCCCGCTTCGCATCCATCAGCCCTTCGCACCGGTACGAAACTCGCATGGAACTTTCTATCCGAAGAAGCGGAAAAGGAGTCAGGCTTTATCATTCGTCTCATCCGCATTCTAGGAATTCACAAAAGTTTGTGACAGGTTATAGATGAAAAAGAATTTATTTGGTCTTAGGCGAATCGCATCCTCCTTTGAAAATTTATCGATACGAGTTGGAAAGTCGGATGCGTTAAGACTTGAACCTTTTGCAGGGATGGGAGTACTCTCTCAGCTTATTCGTGGTGGTGAATGCAATGTCCTTCATGTTCATCGCCTGGGCGTATCTGAGAATGTTCCTGCTGATCCGAAAGAGCGCCGGCCAGCTCAGGTCCACCAGGGTGAAGGAGGACACGAGGATCGCTCAGAGGTTTGCGTGCATCGTCGCGACGGATGCTGCTTCCTGGTTCCCCGTTATCACCGTCACCATCGTTGCCCTCGCCGGTGGGTTTCCGCCGGCTTTTTTCGTAATTTCCTTCGGCTGAAATTTTTCTCGCTTCTGCTTTCCTTCTTATCATCTTCCTAGCAGGAACTTGCGTTGCAAGCTTAAGAGAAAAAAAAGCTTTCGTGGACGCGACGGCATGCATTTTTTAATGTCTTCTGTGCCCAGTTCTAGTTTTATGGACCTTCTACTTGAATTCATATTGGCTTGAAAAAGGACTCCTAATTTTTTTTTCAGTACTTGCAAACATTTGCAGACATGCCAAGAGCAGCACGTGGAAGCATCAAGAGTTGTGTAAAAAAAAAAGAACATAGTGTTTGAATCGTGAATTGAAACAGCAGCCTATTGCTGTTCAAATAATATTCTCACGAGGGTCGTCGTACACTGTAAAAAATAATGGTTCGGACTAGAACCCTCAGCTTTCAGAGGGGTTTTTGCTGATCGAGGAACCATTTAGAATGGTTTAAAGTTCACTTCAAAAACTATTTGGCATAATAATAACTTGGTAGCTCTCGATGGAGCTCGGCAAGAATCTAGGTTTTGTGATCCCTAGAACCATTTTTTCACGATCTTTGCTTAATAGCTATTCGTGGGAGTGATCATATGAATGTTTCAGATCGTAGAATTGATAATCTGCCTTGTCAAAGTCCTCAGATCCTGGTAACTCCAAGAGTTAAGCATATCAGCTCGTGCAGGCTTGATTCCCCGAAAATGGTTCTATAAATGTTTCATCGAAAATGGTTCCAATCCGAACCTTTACTCTTAGAGAGTAGAACCGTTTTTCACTAAATGTGCGTAACTTCGTTGTAGTTAACAGTTGGAGTGATCGTCTGACTGTCCTAGGCCGTAGCGTTCATGTTCTGCCTTGTTAACGATCTAAGATCGTAGTAAGATCGTATAGTAGATCAGTATCATCTCTTCAGCGAAAATGGTTCTATAAAAGTTTCACTCTAGAACCTTTATTTTCTACAGTGTAACAAGCACCTTCGCTAAATCCAAATTAACTTTAGAATTTAAAGTTTCTCAAGATCTGAAGACTGAGAAGTTCAATATTTAATCGATCATGTCTGTACATTCCTAAAAAAAAAATGGTGCCTTTATGGACTCCATGTGTACGAGTGTTAGTGACCTGAGGATGATGAACTTCGACATGATGTATTGCAATTATATTGTACTAGCGAGTTTGTTGCTTACTTTTGCCTCTCGATGGCATCCTAATCCGTCACAATATATATCTTTTAATACTTCTCCCCCTAAAATGTGTACCCCCAGGGCATGTACCTCCAAAGTCGGATTTTTTCTGAACTCTGCATCCCAAAAAGTACATGTGTTCCAAGATTCAGATTTCTAATTTCTCTAGAACATGGTTAGAATTAGCGTCAGTCACGATCGTCGATATATATTAGATTGTTCGTGTATGCATTGCATGTATGTATGTATTGCCCATGTATTGCAATTATAATAAGCGTAATTATAGTATACGGACCAAAATGATGGCGCCATAGTTTGGCAAGGACAGACTCGGGAAGTAAGAGTAATTTGGGGTGATCGTTAATGAAGGGTCGAAGTTCTCCGATCACGCACAGGCGACGCAGGCGATGGTAGCTCAACGTAGCAGGAAATTAGACGCAATCAGATATTCTAGTGCCAATAAGAGTTCGCGTGTTCTTCCGTTGTGAGCCCCATTTAGATCGTGTTCCATTTTGGATGCCTGCAAGTAAAAGGGGTTTAGGGACGGGAATGCGAGCGTCCAGACGCGTTGGGGCCCCATTCGCCTGAGAGAAAGCTAACGGAGGGATTCACATTCGGGCAT